TTTTATAATGTATTAATCATAATATATAGTTATGATAATGGGTCCTATATTTCCTGCAGGTACACAAAAGGTGTGGACATGTGGAGCATAGGTTGCATTCTAGGAGAGATGCTCCTGGGCAAGCCTCTCTTCCCCGGGACGTCTACCATTAATCAAATCGAAAAAATCATGAGTGCCATTCCACATCCTTCTACAGAGGGTGAGTTCGAATTTTACATGAGACTTGTTCTTTCAGGCAACAACTAAATAAACCAGCCACAAAGAATTATGGGTTGTTTCATCAATTATTAATTTATTAAAAACACAAACCAAACTTTGCTAATAGGACTGTGTATTATTTTTCGTAGATGTGTTGGCTATCAGATCAGAGTATGGGGCTTCTGTGATTCAGAGAATGCTGCTTAGGTATGTAATGTTAATATTTAACAGTTTGTCTTCATTCTATGGTTGTTTAGTTGATCTTGAATGATGACTCTGCTGACATCATAACCATGTTTGATGTGAACGTGTGTTTAGACCTCAGGTGCCATTTGATGAAATTCTGCCGGCATCAGTGCCACCTGATGCCCTTGATTTAGTGCAGCGCCTGCTGGTTTTCAATCCAGACAAGAGACTCAGTGCAGAGGAAGCTCTGCAGCACCCTTATGTGTCCAAGTGAGTTTTGCTTTTAGTTATTTAATGTTTTTAAATAATAATGTAAGTCAACATGAAATCAAAATTGACCCTGTCTACTTTCCTAATACACAGCACTTGACACATTGTATTTGATCATCAGTGCACTATATTTGAAAGAAATTAAAATATGATAACAATTGATGAATGGCTATTAAAGGGATAGTTCACCTCAAAATGAAAATTCTGTCATTAAATACTCACCCTCATGTTGTTCCAAACCTATAAGATCTTTGGAACACAAATTAAGATATTTTTGGTTGAAATCCATTAGCTCTCTGACCCTGCATAGACAGCAATGCAACTGAAATGTTCCCAGGCCTAGAAACAAAGTACGGACATCATTAAAATAGTCCATGTGACATCAGTGGTTCAACTGTAACGTTATGAAGCTACGAGAATACTTCATAATGATAAGTCATAATGATAAATGGCTTTTTTGGAATTATTGCATTGTTGTTATATGAATAAATGAATTACTAAATATATAAATGAATAATAACATTCAAAAATATCCCTCTTCTTTCTGTTTGTCATGCAAGATTTCACAACCCAGCCAGAGAGCCTAGTTTGGTCTATGATGTCATTTTGCCAGTGGACGATGACGTCCAACTCTCTGTTACTCAGTACAGAAACAAACTCTATGAGGTGAGTGGAAACTTTTTTCACAGATTTATTTTGACCTTTGTCTCGTGCATTGCTTTGAACAGTCATAATTTTGTGAGTGTACACAGTCATATGATTTCTGTGTTATGGCGACAAATGCTGTGTCACAGTGACAGAAATCTTTCCTCCTGAAAACTTACCACACAAACTGAGCATAAATAATCGTTCACTGAAGTTTAAAAGTTTGGGTTCAGTATGATTTTTATTTTTAAGAAAAGAAATGGTAGAATACATTGTAATAATTTTTTGCAATATTACTGTTTTACTGTATTTGTGTTTAAATAAATGCAGCCTTAAAAATCATTAAAATATTAGAAAAATTGTATCGACCCCAGCTTTTGAATGGTAGTATTTTTACAGTAATAATATATTAGCAAATGCTTAAAAACAACTTTCCAATTTCTCCTGTAAAAGATGATCCTGGAAAAAAGGGCCAGTCGGCAGATGCACAAACAACCTCATTTCGCACAGGAATCAGAGGAGAAGACTGCAGAAGTGAATGGGGACAGTGGAATGGACAAAAGCAATGAAACAGGTGCTGGCTCTCAAAGAGAAGGCAAGCGTGGCGTGGATGGAGATCATGACAGGAAATCTCCTAATGACAAGAAGAGCTCTAATGGAACTGGGGCAGCTGTTGCGAAACCTCTCAGGAGGCCTGAGCAAACACACTCAGCTGCTGAAAGCACCAGCCCAGCAGTGAGCCCAAGTGTGGTCAAAACATCTTATAACCCCATCACACACATGCCTAGTGAGTTCTATTTAATAGTGGTTGTACAATAACATTCAATTACCTCACTTATACATTCAATTATGTGTAATGCACATAAGGCTTTGGTCACTGAATGTCCTGGTTTCAACTTTTATGATAGAATATACACTACCATAGAATAGACTGCAACTATACTACTTAGCATGTGCACTAGTTTGGAGTATGTTTTCTTTTTTTTTTTGAAAGAAAATATTATTTTTATTCAGCAAGGTGCATTAAATAGATCAGAAGTGACCGTAAAAACATTTATAATGGTACAAAATATTTTTATTTCAAATAAATGCTGTTCTTTTGTAACTTTCTGGTTATCAAACAATTCAGAGGAAATTTTTTTTTACTTTTTCATTAAAAAATATAAGCAGCACAATGATATTTATTTATTTTTATTTTTTTACACCAAATCAGCATATTAGAATTATTTCTGAAGGATCATGTAACACTGAACACTTAGAAACAGTTATTTTAAATTAGAATAATATTTCACAACATTACTGTTTTACTGTATTTGTGATTAAATAAATGCAGCCTTGGTGAACATAAGAGACTTCTAAAAAACATTTTAAAAAATCTTGCAGACCACAAACTTTGAAATGCCGGTATATTACTCATTAGATAGCCATAAAAGGTATTATCCATTTATTTTCCAGATGGTTTAGACAAACTGCACCACTACCCAGCTCATTCTCAGCGGATTGGGAGGAATCAAGATACTGGAGGTGTACTGCCTGCAGATGGTGCTAATGGGCCTGTGGTACGTCCTACTGTTTCATTTTATATAAGAGCTGTTGTTTATTCAACATTTAAAGACATTTTAAGTGGCAGTTATTTTTTGCTAACATCTTAAATGTGACCCTGGACCACAAAACCAGTCTTAAGTCGCTGGGGTATATTTGTGGCAATAGCAAAAAAAAAACATTGTATGGGTCAAAATTATCTAGTTTTATTTTATGCAAAAAATCATTAGGATATTAAGTAAAGATCATGTTCCATGAAGATATTTAGTAAATTTTCTACCGTAAATATATCAAAACTTAATTTATGATTAGTAATACGCATTGCTAATAACTTAATTTGGACAACTTTAAAGGCGATTTTCTCAATACTTCCAGATTCCAGATTTTCAAATAGTCAACAGCCAAATATTGTCCTATCCTAACAAACATACATCAATGGAAAGCTTAATTATCCAGCTTTCAGATGATGTATAAATCTCAATTTCAAAAATTGAACTTTATGACTGGTTTTGTGGTCCAGGGTCACAAATGACCATTTAAAATGTGTCATCTGTTCATTCCTTCCAATCAGGGTGTAGACCAGCGAGGTCGCTCTGCCCCTGTGGCACGCACAAACTCTTTCTCTCTCTCACTAGCACAGCCCCAAAATAATCCCCTGCTTCGCAAGGATGAACCGATTGTTTCCCCTGGGTTATGTGATTAATGTTTCCAGTTTGCATAAAACCCATGTGACCCATTTGACTCTTGTTTACTCTGAGCTGGGAACATTCAGTCTGCCAACACAGTCTGTTGGTTGAGGCTGTGTATGTCACAAGATAGAAAGCAGTGCCATGTTGAGAATCCCCCTCAGTTTTGACACATATCAGGAGGTCTTACTGCCATCTGTTCTAGTGTGTGCATTCTGCCTTTTTTATGCTAGAGTCTTTTTGTACCTTAGATCACCTTCATTACTTAGTTTTTATTAAATGATATGTCTGATATGTTTTATGTTTTTCCTCGTTATGATATCCTAATATCCCACTGTACAGAACCAGCGGTCTAATTCGCATTCACATGATGCCAAGCTTCCTCCAAGGTTCAGCAAGAAGATTTTCCAGAGCAATTCGAATGTTTCTGCAGCCGGCGATCCTCGCGCCAAACTTGGCAGTTATTCTCAGGCGTATGGGACTATCAGCAAAAGCGGACTGGACAATCTACTTAGGAATTGCCACTAAGGTGTAAAGTGTGAGATTAGTGGAGAAATCAAGAGGTAGGCAGACAGCCATTGGAATCTCCCAGATCAAATAGAAATAGTGGATTTCACATGACAAAATAATTATCATCATCACATGCTCTGAAGATTATCGCCATTGTGGAAATCCCAGATTAGTGCTGCCAATAACATTTTTTCTGATCAGTTTAAATTCAGGTGTCAACTTCTTGTTTGTAAATATGTGGTGAAAACATTCATTAAAGGTGTAGAGAACATCTTTGCAATTTGTATGTGTCCATGTTCTTGGCTTAAGAAACTTTAACAATCATTAAGACTTTAGGGAAGTGGTTCTAAAGCATTTTATTATATATTAGTGTTATATTATTTTAATATAACTTGAGTTGAACCATTTTATTTCATCTTGTGGCCCCTTAGAAGTTTGTTGATGCCCCCTAGTTAACCACTACTTGAGGGAATTTATATTTAGGGGACATATTTATTTTTCCCCAAATTTCATAATATTTCAAAAGATAACATGCTGAGCATCAAGTCTCCCATTTCCATACATCATTTGCCTGTTTTGTTGCATCATTTGAATGATGCAAACAATGAAGTACCCCATTAAACAAATATTTCTTCAATACATTGAGTTACTACAGGACATTGAGAGGACATTGTTTAACACTACATTAGTTGCCTAGAAAAGCATTTAACTTAATGTAATTTTTAAGCCCATTTCTCACTATCAACACTCTGAGAACCCCTGAACGCTGGAAATTGGCATTTTCTATCTCGTCCATATAGCTGTTCTATCTTTTAAATAGATATTCGACTCTTGTAGATAATTGTAGAACATTCTAGCAATTACGTAATGGGAAAGTCTCTGCATTTACGTCCCATCTGTACAGTACGAAGATGTTTCTCTGGAGTCATGTGACTTCTCGTGAACGTCACACGGTCAGGCTGTGAGAGAGTCGCGGTGGGCGTGGCTAACGGATTCAGATCAGACAAGCTTTACTGCAGCCAACGTCAACACAAACCAACAAACACGGACTCTGTTTCTGCTGTTATTTAATTAACATTCGTTGCATTTTGCTGTGCGTCTCCTAAACTGAAGGGTAAATCTGTCTTCATTTTCATTTTCTTCTAATTTCTAACAAATATTCTTGAATAACGCAGGTGGATGGACATGGCGCTCGTGTTGTCATGGTGTTGTTTGGTGCGCCAGATTACGGTTCATGTTTTCACGCGAATAAATGTTTAAAGCCAGCTCTGTCAACGCACATTTCTGTCGTTTGAGAGATATCGGTTTTTTTGTGCTGTAAACTGCTACGATTTACATTATATGTTACAGCAAATGTGGCTGGTTGGTTCATATATTAACGGCGTGCGCAGGGCCACCCCGTTATAACAGCGACAGATTAACACAGCTTTATTGTTAGGTTAACCTACTCTAGTTTTGATCGAGCTAATAAAACGGCTTACCTGTGTGTAGATTTAATTTGAGGTTTTTGAATGGTTTACCTGTCATAAATTTGTTGCTGAAAGGAGGAAAGTATGGTATTTCAAAATGTAATTTACAGTGTCCCCTATGGCTCATTAAAACGGTTTCTTTAAACCTCTTGAGTTTGTGTGTTAAATTTTAGGTAATTGGAGACACAAAGCCTTTGTTATGGGCACTAGTTACCGCTAATATAATAACAGTGTCAGTAGTTCAGTTTGAATGGATTGGTCATCGCATAATTTGTGGCAAACCGTTTTAACTTTTTTTCCCCTAACGAACTAGTGTCTATTTTAAGTTACTTATTTTTAATTACTAGTAGGTAGTCCAATAGTGACAAATACGTTTTTCAGTTTCACCATTCTTTAAAGGGGTCATTGGATGCCCATTTTCCACAAGTTGATATGATTCTTTAGGGTCTTAATGAAAAGTCTGTAACATAGTTTGGTTAAAATTTCTCAATGGTAGTGTAAGAAAAACATTTTTTACCCTGTCAAAAACAGCTCTTTTCAGAGCAAGCAGTTTTGTAGCATTTTCCTTTAAATGTTAATGAGCTATGCTGACCCCACCCCTCTCTTCCCAGCTGCTATTTGAGGGACTGTTTACTTTAGCGGCTAAATCATCGTGAAACTTGCTAATTAGCACATTATTAGGAAAGGCGATTTGCAAAGATTCATTAAAAAACCTTATACTCACTTCTTCTGTAGGTGAAGGTGGATCATGAATTATACGCGCGAACATAGACACATTTATGTAGATCGGGGGCGCATTCCCTTCAGAAACAAACGTAATCCACTGCATCTTCAGCGACTCAGATGTCGGGAGTAAATGACAACCGCTATATTCATTATTACATCCAACAACAGAACACCTCAGTTGCTTAGGAGTCATACTTGTCTACATCTGGTCCAGCGGTGAAACAATGGCGGACTGATGACAGCTCACTCAGGGCGGGTTTAAAGTGAAACACCAGTCCAGTCTGTGCTGAAACGCTACTGTCAATCAAACGATCGTGGGCGGGGCCTGTTTTTGTGACGTCACACAGACAGGCATCTGAGATCGGCTCGATTTGAGAAAGGGTAAAGATTTTAGTAGATAAAAAAAAAAACACTGGGTGGATTTTTATCATTATAGGGTGGTTGTGTACACGCACTGCCAACACACATTTCAGTTCAAACAACTTGTAAAAGTGCATGTAGCATCCAATGACCCCTTTAAATACTAGTACTGATTATTTAGATACTAGTACATGCTTAGTTAGAAATGTTCTAGTAACAACGGAAAAGGATGCTGAGACTAGTATCCAATAAATAAATACTAGTGAAGCTGGAATAGATAGGCTACTAATAGCTATTGATAATATTACTAGTATTTACTAGTAATTGGTAATAATACTAGTACTTACTAGTTAAACTTGTTGAATAGCCTACTTATTAGTAAAACTGGTCTACGTACCAGAAGGAACTGGAATAAATTAGGGATGCTCCGATCTGCCTTTTTCGCCTCCGATACCGATTCCGATACCTAGGGTTCGTTATTGGCCGATACCGATCCGATACCAGTGAAGTTTTTTTCCCTCATTTAAATAAACATTAAACTCCGGCAAGAAGATAAAGTCCTTTTCGCAAAATCATAGACATGTATTTACAAATCGAGTATAATGGGAACAGAATGATCTTGGAGAGAGCTTTACCGAGCTGACTGCTGTAACCGAACGCGACCAGGGTTTAAAGGCTGAACGAATGACTGACAGCCACAGCGGAGAAAAGAGTTTGTGTGAACTTTAATGTAAGGACTTAAATATTCATATGTAGCTCACATTAAGCTATCGTATGGCTTCAGAAGCAACACAGAATAATTCGCACAATCGGAAAAAAAAAAAAATCTCTGATTTGGATCGGCCCTCTCTGACCGATACCCGGTCCAAGAAAAATGGCACTATCGGAGCCGATACCCGATATGAATATCGGATCGGCGCATCCCTAGAATAAATAGTAGATAATATTCACTATTGGGATAAATGTATCTAATAAACAAGTACTAATATCTAATGAATAGTGAAATAATTATAGTGAAATTGGAAAAAATGTCACTATTGGATTAATTGTTAGTAAGTTAAGTGATAGTAACACAAAAATAGATACTATTTGTTGCAAAGGAATAATTGCTTAAACAGCTTGCCATACACAGTCTGTAATGGTTTCTTTTTGCTAAGCAAAAGGACAGGTGCAGTCAGTCATATTCAAATCCATGTTTTGTTTTCAGACAAAACAAAAAAAACTGGAAAACCCACATCACATGTCTAATGTGCAAGACCTTGATAACCACAGCCTCTTCCTTTCAGCGTGACGTTTCATTTTATTGACATTGATCATGTGCTTATGCTTACTAGAGCATATTATGCCTTAAGCCCAATAAGCTTTATCATAGGGAATCCTTGTAATATTTTATTTGTTTTATTTTCTCTAAAATGTATGTTCTCTCTTCTCACTATTTGCCAAGTCAACACCTACTCGCTTTCCTGGATAACATTCAGGCCTACTCAGCATCCCTTTCTACCCCTCTCAGCAAATTATACAGCTCAATACCCACATCCATTTCCCCAGGCTTGCTTAAAAACTATTATTATTTGTTTCGTGACATTGTGCATTGTTGTTCTACAAATTTTATACAGTTTTTCAAACAATAGGTGTTGGCGATATGTCCTTTTGTCTTGTAGTTGAGGAGTAGGTGGCTGTTTTCTTTTGGGCACAGTGCTTGGTGCTTTTCAGCTGACCAAATTTTGAAGTTTGTCATTCAGTTGATGGACAATTACAAATATCTGCTCAGCCACTCTTTAAAGTCATCAACCTTATCTAATTTAGCTTGGTTCCTGTGCATTGGTTAGCTGTCATAATATGCTCATGCATGCATGCTAATGCATCCTGTAACCAATGCAAACAGAGTCACGTATAAAGCTCCTGTTTATGCAGCCATGAACTGCCTCAGTTTATTTCGCATAATGTTATTTAATCTATGCCATTTAATCAATGCCATTCAGTGTAGTGTAAAAGCACATTCTCCATATTAAATGGGAGCAAGAGGATGATGTTTACCTTCACGAGTCTTCGTCCACATGGAAATAAAATGCTGAGATGGTGGTTTAAAGCTGGAATCTGCATCTTCCATGCTCATTTGGAAAATGCCTTGGAGAAATATGAATGAATTTGACGTAGGTCCATAGATTACAGAATGGACTAAATATTCATGGAAATAATCGAGACACACATCTGCTCTGGAACTTTGTGAGGCTTTTAGGGAATTTGTCAATTGACCATTTTTTTAACTGGTGATTTAAAACTTTGTTAATACACATTTTTTCAGATAATCATGAAATATAAACTACTGTTCTCTTACATTTATTAAGGCTGCATTTATTTTATCATAATACAGTAAAAACAGTAATATTATGCACTTTTACAATTTAATATTTGTTTTTGAATATATTTTTAAATGATTAATTCCTTTGATGGCAAAGCTGAATTATAATATGCTGATTTGGCTTAAAAAAAACATTTCTTATTATTATCAATGTTGAAAACAGATGTGCTGCTTAATATTTTTGTGGAAACTGTTATGTAGTTTTTTCAGGATTCTTTAATGACACAAGTTCAAAATAACAGCATTTATTAATTTGTTATAAATATATTTCTCTGTAACGTTGTAAAAGTATTTACTGTCACTTTTGATCAGTTTAATGCTCTGAATAATAGCATTAATTTCTTAAAAAAAAAAAACTTACTGCATTTGAAGGTAGTGTATTTTGAGTTTTGTATTTTTAAGAGCCACATGCATTAGAAGGCTGTGAAATAAGAAAAAACAGTTAGTACTAATTTTAAGCTTCACTTACAGCATATTCTATTGATTAATAATTTTAGTTTTTGTCTAATCTGCATTTGTCATTGTTTCTCAAAATAGCCAAGTTTGTTGTTTTGTTTTGAGTGCTGTGGCTTCTAAGCACAAGCCCAGTTTTTATGTTTAAGTATGTAAACAGATTTGGGTTTAGGTCTGTAACACTGTTCACTAATGCTTAGTGATTTGTGCAAACTGTGAGGTGTTTGGCTCACTGAAGCAGTGTTCCCTCCATATAATTCCCTCCGTGAACCACTTCAGCAGTAGCCAAGTGAAGTGCCCGTTTCATTTATCCACCACATGTCACCTAAGAGGATCTTTCTGCTTTTGTAACCCTTCCTAGACTGAATTGACCTATCGGTAAGCCCCTCCCCTCGAATGCAGATGAGCCAATGGCAGTTGAGTATCAGTAGCACGGGGAGCGGAACTCGGACATCAGTAGGTTTCAGCACCATAAAGAAACATTGGAAGATCCAAAGCTCGCATCGTTTTTATGGAGTGTATGCTTCAAAAATGGAAAAACTATGTGCCTGGGTTACTTGTAACAGTGATTTCAGGTATCCTGAGATGATAGGCAATGGAATTAATTTTATTCTATTTCTTAAACCCAAACAAAACGGAGCAAAATGTCCCAAAGCATGCACCCCCAATCCCAATGAAGACAAAAACGTTCGTTTTCTGGTCGTCATACTCTCAATAAGTTACAATTTTCATCTGCTCAAGCAGAACGTTAATGTCATCGTGTGCTTTAGCAAGTTATCTCTGGCTAAAAGTTAGTGAGTCCATACAAACCAAAATAGCGGACTGTTCTCGCCTCTTGTATAGGGCAAAAACACAAACACGAAGGTCTACATTTCACTGTCTCTTCATATTAAACTGCTTAAATGTAAATTAATTTAATCGAACCCTGCGATACATGAACAGTGTTGATCCGGGATGTTATCTGCGATCATGACGAACGTAACATCAGGCTTCTCCCGCTTGCATTGTGATCTGTGAACCCTCGCTTCCAAATTACTACCCACAATATTTATTTTTAAATCTTTTATATATCCCTCCATGGCATATTTAAGTCCCACTTGAATGGTGGTCCTTTTGTGTCCAAAATTTATCAAAAAGATATAGGGATGACAAGGTTTTCACACTGACAGCTGTCATTGTAAGACAGTTAGCAACTCCGTTTGTTTGTCCGAGTTCGCAACAGTAACTAAGGGGGGCGGGGCTTACCGATAGGTCAATTGAATCACCAGTTTGGACAACAGTCATCAGAGACCTCTCTAGCTGTTGCTCTTTTACATCAGATTTTTCCTACACATTTTTGTGAATTGTGTTGACATCCACATCCATTCCATTGCTGTTACAAGTTTAGCCGTTTTTGAAAATTATTTTTCATCTGTTGGTTTGGTTTCTTTAAATTTGGATCTTTTACTAAATCTTGAATCTAGATATATTTCTCCTTATATCATCATCAACACACACCCATGTTCCAGGTTCATGACCTTAATGATTAAAATATGAGTATCAGCAAGCCTAATTTTAAGCAGAGTTTATTTTAATGTGAATTGAGAATTTGGCTTCATTAGCTGCTATAGGTTGTAACTAGAAGAATAGCAAAGTGACGTAAACAATAAAACTATTTGCACTGTAAATCAATGCGTTTATGATTATGGTAATAAATTAAAATAATCTAAAAGAAATACCAGTTTATAAATTCAGGCAACATGACAGGCTGTTTTTGTACAGCTAAAATAACTGGAAGCATCGCGCGAACATTCAAGTTAAAAATGACTGCACCTGCTCTCACGTTAAAAATAAGATGTAGGCTATGAATATAAATATAAGTTTGTCTCTGCAGGAATAAAATAAAATGCTAATTTGTTATTTTTTAGCAAATTTCCTTCATTTGTAGATATATTACCATGGTCAAGAAGATACATGTTTAATTTTAGTGTTTGCGTTGGCACATTTGAGGCTGTCTTCTGATTCTGAATGCATCAGAAGAACCTGATGAACATCCATGAAACTTTTCCATTCCACAAAAGGTTCTTTATAGTGGAAAAAGTTCTTAAGTCCTAAATATTCTTGAAACTAAGAAAAAAATTATTCTTTTTAGAACTGTTCACTGAAAGGTTCTTTGGGAAACCAAAAGTCACAGGGTTTTTCACTGTCACTGTGAAAAACCCATTTTGAAACCTTTATTTTTAAGAGTGAACGCTTACAAATGTGTCACCATCAAGGAATGAGTAGTCAGCTGACAAACATATGTGCCATAAGACTAATCACAAATTTACCTTTAAATCAGGCTTTATTTTATACCACATACATTGAATTCTTCATTTTAAATGTATTTGCTTTTGTATTTACATTTGAGTCGTCAAGCCAAAAGGGCATAAGTGACATGAGTTTGATCACTTCTTAAAGACATGAGTTTTTATTGATTAAAGACTCTAGCTAATCTAATGAATCATAAATTTAAATATCTGCTTTGCAGTCATTTGGTTTTCGCTGAACAGTCAAATATTATTTTTCATTTCCAGTAACTCCCTAGGCCAGTCATAAACATGAACCTTTGGAAACCCTTCCTGCTGAGCTAAAATAAAGTATGCTGGAATCACCGAATCAGTCAGGGTTACTTGTTTAAAAAAACAGCTCTCAAACTTGACTGATTCTTGATAAGTGCAGTGATCTAATAGCAACCAGCAGCACAGATCTTAGCAACATATTAAGCTGCTTAATTTGGTTTGTGTAGTTTGAGAGATAAACAGACAGGGATGTTAATGAATGGAGAGCTTTCAGCACTGCATAGATTTAATAGAGCACCCTGATGTGATTTGCAGATTACACAAAATAATATCTTGTGTTTTTCAGTAGCTGACATTCCAAATACAACAAAAACAAACACCAGCTATTATTGTTTGAGAGCTAAAAAAAAAAGTATAATTGTGGACGTCTTGCATATGTTAAAAGACTTTTGTCACTGTATTTGTCAGGGGAAAATGATGTGGAATTGCTTTATTTAATTCCTGGCCTGCTGCTGTGAAGTGGGACAGTGGAAAACAGGCCGCTGAATATAACCTGGTCTGTAACGCTGGGCAGACTGCTGAGCTGAGATCAAGTCACATGGGATTTGGCATCCACAGTAAATGGGACAGTGTTGCATAACTGCTGTTATACAGTGCTGTTATACCTTAAAGGGGACAGAGATTATTCATAGTGACATTTATTTTACAATATTATAATATGTGTTATAGGGTCATTATGTTATGCTGACTAACTTGCCTTCTTATGTTTTTTTCCTTTTTTTTTTTTTTTTTTTTTTTTTTTTACAGTTGATTGCAATTTATAAAATTTACAGTGTTTAGTTTTACTAATTAAAACTTATAAATTGTTTACCATTTTTTGTAGTAGAAGTAGTTGTTGTTTAATTGGCCATACTAATTTCCCCTATTTTTACATTTATATTAACCTTTCTGTCATCTAACACTCACTTAAAAAAAAAACCGAATAATTTAAAAACACTGGTAAGTGTAATCTTTTAACAAATCTCTAAATTAATATTTTTCACATATATATTTGTACATTATAATGTTTAGGTGCCTAAATTAATTTGTAGCATTTCAAATGATTGCTTTTAGTATTTAGTGTTTTATTTTATATAATACAATTCTATAATATTCTACAATTCTCTAATATAATTTTTTTGTATGTAAACATCACTGATCTACAGTGGGTACGGAAAGTATTCAGACCCCCTTAAATTTTTCACTCTTTGTTATATTGCAGCCATTTGCAGGAAAAAAAATTAACTTAAATGATTTTAGCAAATGGCTGCAATATAACAAAGAGTGAAAAATTTAATGGGGGTCTGAATACTTTCCGTACCCACTGTATATAGATCAGTGGTAAACATACTATATGGACATCTTTAACCTTTCTAAATTGTGTTGCAGTTTTTTTCCAGCTTCCGGCGCTGTGATGTCTAGTTTTGAGATACAAACTATTTATTCCATTACATTATGCTCCATCTAGCTTTTTATACACAAAAACACATTGTGTGTGGATGACCACTTAGAAACAAGAAGCAGGTCATTCACACACTGAATCTTAGCTTCTTTTTATAGTCTCACTTTCACACGTTTAAATGAAGGGGTTTCCCCACCAACTCATGCATTCAGATCAGTGTCCATAGCAGTTCCTCTCTTTCAGCTGCACAACCGAGAAGCTGTTTGAGAAGAACCTGTAATCATATGTCCTCTGCCGTTGGATAAATATTTGGATAATGTATGGTTTGGTGTAGGTTCTTGATGGTGTTGTTTGTTTTCCGTATTCAGTCGTAATTCCCACTGAATCATGCCCCTTTTGCTTTCTGGCTGCCCCTTTTGTGTTAAAATGCACCATTATTCAGCGGACTGAACTGAATCTTTGAGTAAACAGAGCTGGATTGTTCACTTGTGGTTGGTCCAGTTAGAGTTGTTTTGATCAGATCATCACAGCTCATTGTTGGTTTGTCCATTTTTAGTTTTAGGATGTGTAACTCCTACACAAATGACTTTAAAATATAAAGTATTTAAATTTGAAGGTTGGCAAGAAATTAAAATTCACCCTATAAAATTTCTAAATCCATTGATCTTATTGTGAATGATTCTTCAATACATCCGTTTTTTTAACCTAAATTTTTAATCAAAATTCAGTCAATAAGCTTCTCGCTGGTTGGGCATGGTGGACTTCTCTAATCATTTAGTCAGCATAAAACCACTTATTTATGAATCTGTACATTACAATATGGGAAAAAAAGTTTGTTGCTACTTCCATTTCATCATGATTTTAATGTAGCTTCACTTTACAAAAACAGTTGCACTGCATATTGAAACTAGTCAATTATATATTATAATATTATAAAAACATCTTTTTATTAGAGTTATGGTATTATTTTATATCAAAATAATATCAGATTGTTTAATACATTTAAAATCAGATATATTGAATAGATTATTTTATCTACTATTTGTAGATAGTTTATATGCTTATTAGAGTATCAGGGTGTTAGCTTAGTAACATGCTAACATCATACTCTATTGAAATCAACTATTTCAATACTACTGTGTTCCAAATTGGTTACTTATGATTTTCAATAATGTGTAGGATGCTGCTTTAGTTAATTTGTTAAACTGCACTGATGTAATTATTTACTTTACTATTACTTTCTTTTTCTGTACATTTTAACCGTTCTGTTTTTCTGTCAATATCAGGATTCTAGTGAGGGAAGGAGACATGTCCCAGGACAAGCCAGCCTACCCTATAATGGGGGAGAACAATCCTCTTCACAACAACGTCTATGGGCCACCCAAAACCGATGCCTTTGGAATGCCTCCGCCCAACTATAGTCAGGGTCCAGGAGCTCCTCCGTATGTGGCACCAGGACCCTGTGGCCAGCCCGGTTACGGCCAACCTCCAGCACCAGGGTTCGGCCCTGGTCCATACCCACAGATGCCATATCCACAGATGCCGTACCCACAGGGGCCCTACGCTCAGGGGCCCTATGCTCAAGGTCCATACCAGCAGGGGCCCGGCCAGCCTGCCTTTGGTGTAGATCCTAATGGTAAACCGTTTCCAGAAAAGAAAAACTCAATGTTTATGTCAGGACTTGGGCTGGGCAATATATCGAGTTTGTACGATATATCGATATTTTCTTTATAAGCGATTCGATATGAGGCAATACCGTTTATATCGATATACAGTAAGTTAGTTTGATACGAGCGCATCTGAAAATATAGCGGAGGACACCGACTGAGCTGCTGCGGAGAAAGTGCATAATCCAATTTGTTCTAAACACGTGACAAGCTTCATATTAAGTCCTTTAAAACTGGAAAGACATAGTTTATAGTTTCGTTTCGCATATTAGTTTAAGCGGCTCGGCCCGTCATATGCTCTGACAGAAAGGCTGCATGTTCCGCTGATAGCCACTAGGCAACTTGTAGCCATGGAAATATTTCCATTTTTCTGTCAGAAGTGCATGAGCCTTCTGCTTTGGGATTCTCCGCTAAACTTTACAGACTTCAGTGAACGAGTGCCGCCGCGCGCATGCGTGCCAAACAGACAGCTCAATTAAATATGAGCGCAATAATTCTGACTAAAATATACATTTCGCTGAAATATTTGTAGTTGGACAATAAATGTGACATGTAGAATTTTAAACAGTTTGGACACCCCTGCTCTAAACCAAGAGGCCTCAACTCTGAACCTTGAGCTGTAATGGGGTAATCAAAATAGCAAAATAACAACTCTGCTTTTGTTCTCATTTATTTTCATTTATAGTTTAGTGAATTTAACTTCCGCTTTAATAGCCTTATTTTTGTTTTTAGATTGCAATGTTACAATGTTGAATGAAATGTGATTTTAACCCTTTTTTTGCACATAATATAAAGGCTTACATGGTTACATTCACTTTATTTGTTTTCATAGCCTTTAATATGTATTGTTTTGTTGGACAACATTGGGCGGTAAAAATACAATTTCATAAATTGCATAAACATTTATGAACAAAACAGCATCATGTATTTATGCATTGATTAATACAAAGAGCCGAATTGCCCATCACGCAGATTGCATTTAAAAACATAAGAGATGCAGTGAAAAGGAATAAACCTCCACAAATTTGCGACGTGTGTTCTAAAAGTTTAAACTGTTTTAACTTTGCATGGCTTTCCATACATCTCTTGTGTGAGACGTGAGAGCAGCAGTCATATTTGTCCGTCTAGAAAATGCGCTGAATATGCGTTCTGTGTGAATTGCTTGGTTTCGGTTTTAACCTAATCAAGATCTTCTACGCATTGAGCTTCTATATTTCGCTAATATTTTGAATGAATAACGCAGCAACTGCGCGTCTTGTGGGCTAGACTTAACAAAACATTAAAATGCAACAACGTCACTTACATCATCATCACCGCATCTCGTGCTCCACTGATGACGCTCCCAGACGCACACCTAACATTTGATTATACTATTTTTGCATTCAAATGCAAATGTTTTTTAAATTCGACTAATATTCATTTTTTTTATTCACAATCTCCTCATCACAGGCAGGCACAGCACTCAATTCAGCATGTGTTCGTGTTTGTGTGTGCAGTCTGCGTCACTCATAGCACATGCCTATATCGTGCGCTATATCGAACATTTTTTCTATCGTTATCGAAGAGGGTGTACCGTCGATAAATATCGATACTATCGCCCAGGCCTAATATACCATATATCGCAAATCGGCCAAAAAATACAGAGATATGAATTTTTGCCCATATCACCCAGCCCTAGTCAGGACTCACTATTTATACTTAGGATTTTGCTATGAAATGTTGTACACAGTTTAGTTTAGTGAGTGGTGTCCCTGCTGAGTTCAGGTGTTGTCAGGTTGAATAAGCTTGTTTAGTCAGTGTGTACTCTGTCCTCCTGAGGGTTATTTAAGGTAAAGTGCTTTGCGTGAGCGATTCAACAAAGGATTACTAGCTCTGTGAGGTTTGAAAATGTATAATTTGTTCCTTTCTTACCTCATCCCTAGTCCCTGCTGTAACAATTAGAATGTCTTTTCAACTGTGCTGTTGGTGTAGATGCTATAAAATTTGCTTTCCTTTCCAAACCTATAAAACTGTTTAAATCTTTCCCGTACTTCAGTTTTCCATTTCTGTCAGCGTTTTATTGAATGAGCATACTAGATGGATTTAAATACATTAGATGATGGCTCTAACATACTTTAGATTTCACCCATCATTTCATGTTTTTGACAGCTTCTATGGACAGCCCTGGATACCACGGTGGAGATGGACCCCCTTCTTACTATGGCAATGATGAGTTTGCGAACTCTGGCTGGGAAGATAAGAGTATCCGACAGGCCTTCATTAGAAAGGTAATCAGTAAGACAGATTCAGGTGGGGTCTTTATTTATTTATTTTTATTTGAAATAAATTTGTAGAAAGAGTCCAGTGTTCCAGGTAAAATGAGCAAGAATGGAACCATGTCACATTTCCTTGTTACATTTCTCAGAAGCGGAAGTTGTCATAGTTGGGTTACTTGGGTAAACTTTTATAGTGTTGATCTATCTATATATATATAT